CTTGGTTCCTGATCATTTTGTCTTGTCTCCTTGCGTGGCTGATAATTTTTATTAAGTGCTAAACATTGCACGTGAAAAATTGTGGAAACCCTGGAAGGTAAGACCTTCACCAAAAGAAAAGTTACTTTTCTTCTGCCAGCCAATGATACTAGAGGTGAATCACTTTGATCCCATAAAGGATTATTGGATGACTTAAGATTGGATGACTAAACCATATTAAAAGGAGGATTCCAGATGAATTAAAGATTGAAGCATCTTTTAAAATTCTAAGTGAAAATAGAAATGCAGACAAATTAAAACGTAGACATATTTTAATATCCTAGAGTTACGGAAATAATTTTCACACCTAAAAATAAATTATTGGGCAAATATATAAAGTTTTTGTTCTGCAAGACACCGTAAATAAAGAAAACAGACAAATGAAAGGGTAAGAAAAGAAATTTACAGCATCTAACATTAGCAATAAATGAATACATAGACTCTACAAGGCACTCCAGTACATCATCAAGAAAAGATAAAAAGAAAACCCAGTAGGGGCACCTGGGTGGCTCATTTGGTTTAGCATCCGACTCTTGATCTCAGCTCAGGTCATGATCTTACAGTTTGTGGGGTCAAGCCCTGCATCGGGCTCTGCACTGGCAGTGTGGAGCCTGCTTGGGATTCTCTCTCTCTGTCCTCTCTCCTGCTCAGGCTCTGTCTCTCTCTCAAAATTAATAAATAAACTTAAAAAAAAAAAAAAGGAAAGGAAAGAAAAGAAAACCCAATAGAAAAGTGAGCAAGGATAAAACATATGAATAGACAGTTCCCAGAAACTCACGTGTCCCACAGTTACGTAACTCTGTGCTCAAATGCACTAGTAATCGTAGAAATACGAATTCAAACAACTGTGCTATCGCTTTCCACCCATTAGTTTGACAAAAAGTAGGAAGTTGGACAATGCTCCGTGTTAGCAAGAATTTATGAAACTAGAACACTGATGCACTTCTGGTGGGAATCTAGATTAGCACAGAAATTATGAGGACCAGTACACCCAATGACAGATATCATCCTTGAATATATATATATACACACACACACACACACACACACACACACACACACACACACACATGTTTTAAGAATGTGTGTGTGTAAACACATATAGAGATACATGTTTTAGATACATATTTTTAAATTTTTATTTATTTAAGTAATCTCTACACCCAACGTGGGGCTCAAATTCACAACCCCAGGATCAAGGCCCACGTGCTCCTCTGGCTGAGCCAGCCAGGCGTCCCTAGGTATATATATATTTTTTTGACGAAGATGTTCATTGCAGTATTATTTCTAGGTAGCTGAGAGATGAACGCTCCTGGACGTTTATCACTAGGGCAATTCGTAAATACAGTAGAGTGAATACACAGTATGGAATTCTAACTATAATTATGCTTGATAACTATTCAGCAGTGGGTACCCATTATAAAATCACTGTGCAGACTGGAGAGAAAAAGCCCAATAAACAAGAAGAGATCTCATGCAAAGCACTATCCATGTAAATTAAAACCCAATTCACACATAAAACAATACGGTGTCATTGATAAGAAATGTTTTAATGTTTATTCATTTTTGAGAGACAGAGAGAGACAGAGCGTGAGCGGGGGAGGCGCAGAGAGAGAGGGAGACACGGAATCCGAAGCAGGCTCCGGGCTCCGAGCTGTCAGCCCAGAGCCCGACCCGGGGCTCGAACCCATGAACTGCGAGATCACGACCGGAGATGAAGTTGGACACTTAACTGACTGAGCCACCCAGGTGCCCCATAGAGCATCATTTATAAGGAGACATATTTACATATTTAATTCATTAGAGTCATTGTCTCGGGTGGGGTGGAAAAATGAGACTAAATGGGAAATTTTTAAAAATCTTGTTTGAAGGGGCCGCCCAGGTGGCTCAATCGGTTGAGCGTCCTACTCTCGGTTTCGGCTCAGGTCACGATCTCACAGTTGCGTGAATTGGAACCCCACGTCAGGCTCAGTGCTGACAGTGCAGAGCCTGCCTGGATTCTCTCTCTTCTCCCTCTCTCTCTGCCCCTCCCCACTCACGCTGTCCCTGTCTCTAAATAAACAAATAAACTTATAGAATAAAATAATGAAATAAAAATCTGTTCGAAGAAACTAATCACTCAATTATAGATGTCCCCCCCCCACCCCGGTCTCTCTCCTTCCAAGTCCCTTCCATCTTTTTTCCCCCTCCCGTCCTTCTGCAGATGTTACTAGGATGACAGAATGAACACGATCCCGTGTCAGGTGCTGTGGGGGAAATAAAGGTGATTTCCATGTTGGCTTGACCACGTGAGGCAAAAGTCCAAGGTGAACGTGCCAAAAACTTTCCTGGCAGTAAGTACTCTGCCCCAGAGTTAGAACTCCCAAGCACACTCCTGCTCTGAGCTCCTGAGGACGACAGGAGCACTCAATAAAAAAAACAAGCCCTGTGACTGAGGCCAGAAGTCACAGTGCGGCTTCTTTCCCCGTCAGGCAGATGTTTATCAGCGAACATAAAGATACAAACGCTAGAAGCTTATTTGTGTGGAATCCTCTCGTCAGATTAAAAAGTGTATATAAAGTACTTCCTATGTGCACGTCCTGGGATAAGTGGCTGCTTTGTTCTTTTTTTATAATTATTAAGTGTTTCGGGCACGCGAGGATGTAGAATAGCCACATAGCAGTGGTACGTCCAAACCCCCTGCTTACAAACTAAAACCGGGGTTGGCCAGCTTTTCCTGCCGGTTCTTAAATATTTTCAGCTTTGCGTGTCTCTATCACACCTGCCGTCCTCAGAAGGTGCGGCATGAACATAGCCTTGGACAGTACAGTCAACCAACGCGCAGGGCTGGGTTCCAAGAAGACTTTACTTACGGACACTGTAATCTTCACAGGTCATGAAATGTTATCCTGCTTTTGATTGGTTTTCAAACCGTTTAAAAATGTGAAAGCCATTCTTAGCCCCTGGGCCACAGGAAAAGATGGGCTGGATTTGGAAGGGCCATAATTTGTGTCGAGCCCTGAACCAAAATGTTATGAACTCACTGGAGGCCCTCGGGGTACCACGTCCCAAATGGCATCCCCCTGCCATCCCCCGAGTTACTCATTCTCTGAAATGTTTTTCATCCCATACGTACTGTTATCTGTGTATTGCATGTGTGTGTATCCCTAAACGGCATATAGTATTGATTTGTATTTTTTTTTAATTTTTTTTAATGTTTATTTATTTTTGAGAGAGAGAGAACATGATCGGGGGAGAAGCAGAGAGAGAGGGGGGGAGACACAGAATCCAAAGCAGGCTCCAGGCTCTGAGCTGTCAGCACCGAGCCTGACGCAGGGCTCGAACTCACGGACCGTGAGATCACGACCTGAGCCGAAGTTGGACGCTCAACCGACTGAGCCCCCCAGACGCTGCTAGTATTGATTTGTATATTTTGCACTTCGTAGAAATACCATATTTTGGGTACCCTTCTGCCTCTTTGCTCAGTACTTCGTCGGTCTGTCTGTCGCGCTGTGTGGAGTCGTGCGTTAAGTCTTTTTCACCGCTGTATCACATTCTGCTGTTGGACCACACGCTACCTGCATCATCACTCTTCCTCTGGGACTGAATGGACATTTAGATTACTGCCTACTAAGGCCTTTCCTTACGGGGACCATCGCTTTTCATACTCACCGTGACCTCTTCGGGGAGGTACTTTGAGAATCCCCTTGTCCAGACGAGAAAGCTTTTGACTTAGAGCAGTTTGGTAACTTTCTAAAGGCGGTGAAGAGCGAAACTGAAATCGGAACCCGTGACCTTTCCACGACGGAATCTGAGTTTATAGCCACTTTGCCACCAGTCAGTATGTTGTGTTCCATTAAAGTGATGATAGCAGGGGCACCTGGGTGACGCAGTCGGTTAAGCGTCCGACTTCAGCCAGGTCACGATCTCGCGGTCCGTGAGTTCGAGCCCCGCGTCGGGCTCTGGGCTGATGGCTCGGAGCCTGGACCCTGTTTCTGATTCTGTGTCTCCCTCTCTCTCTGCCCCTCCCCCGTTCATGCTCTGTCTCTCTCTGTCCCAAAAAAATGAATAAACGTTAAAAAAAAAAAAAAATTAAAAAAAAAAAAAAAGTGATGATAGCAGATCCTCCCCGACAATGACCTCGCGATACTGATGTGCTATCAACAAACTCAGCCTCTCTCTGAGGACAGCTTGAATCAGTGCTAAATACTATTGGCTGCCGTTGAGCTCTGTGAAAACAGCCAGGTACGGGATTGTGCACACACAAACAAGAAACCTCACTTCCTAACCACAGTGGGTAGGAGCCGAGGAGGCATGACCGGTTTTCGATGAAAAAACGCGAAAGACCCAGGAGATTTGTCCCACGCTTTCCCTGCCCCCCCCCCCCCCCGCCCCGTAACATTTTATCAAAGTCGTGAGTAATTCGGGAGCTGGTGTTTCCTTTCTTGGGGACCAGCATGATGGGCTGTGGAGTTTGGCCCGCCCGGAGGGACTTGGTGAGTATCACGGATGCCTTCCGCACCTCTCTCCACCAGTCCAAGTAGCACCGTGTCCGTTTTTGTCTCGAAACTGCAGTCTCCTCCTCTCCCCAAGCCTCTGCTTTTGGGAATCCAAACCCAAACGTTCTCTCTCCGCCCGTGTCTCCCTTCCTCTGCTGGGAAGGCTCCCTAGCTCGTTCCAGCTCATTCAGATGACATTTAAAAGAGACCAGGATGTAATTTTTCTAATGGCAAAATACAGTATGAAGGAGGGGAAAGTTTTAATCAAGTGGGTGTATTCTCCGGAGGGGAGCAAGCACTTCATTTTAATTCCTTATTTCCCTTTGATGAAAAGTTTAGTGAATTTTTATTATGTAGAATTTATAAGACGGCTGGGTTTAGGTAATCAGCTTTAATATTTATACTCTTAGGGAAAGAAATAGGAATCATTAGTAAGCATGCATAATTAATGAATAAATTATATTTCCCTTTGTTTTCTTTCAGGTACAAGGAAATGCTAGATCTGGTGATCTCACCCAGCCTCACTGTAAACAGCGATTGTCCGGGTAAACTGAAGCTTAGCCGCACCGACGCCGATGTCTGGACTCTGAGTGACATAGAAGGTAGGCCTCCTGGCGTGAGTTTCGGTGGGACCTGTGTTGGTCCCCCCTGCCCCACCGCGGAAGTTAGTAAGGGACTGGCAGCCTCAGACACGCATCCTTTCGAAAATACCGTCATGATGACAGTTTCTCCTCCCGCCATCGGGATTGTTGCCTCTGGACCAAAAGAAACTTTGGCATGCCCTGCTGACAGTTCCCATCTAGTCGGTAGAGGTGTGAGCGTGCTGGTTCGCGTTCTGAACTTCCTGTCCCGAGAAACGCTGACACTTCCACCGCGGCTGATAGTCAGTTTCGGGTGTGTTACAGGCCCCGGCCCTGGGTGGGTCCTGCGGGGTCCGGGCTCCAGCTCAGGAGTCTGTCCCTCAGCGCTGTCCCTCCCTGCCCCCCAGCCATCCCGCATCCGGGCAGGCGTCTTGTTTACGAAGGTTTGACGCTGGGACCAGAACTTGTCTGCCTTTGGCTTTCAGGTTGGGTTGGAGTCAAGGAAGCAGAGGAGAGTTAAGCTGTTTAAAAAATTATTGGCAAATGGTGCAGCCGAACTAGTTTTCGCTAGAACAATTCCAGCTATTGTTTGCTCTGTTTGGGATCTGTCAGCCTTCCTGGGAGAGCTGGGAGTTAGCAAAAGGCATTACGCTATTATGTGTAACCATTGGGCTTAACCCTTTAGTCGGGCCCGCTTTCGGATTTGCCGCCGGTGTCCCGGGACCCCGGGCTGACTCTCCTTCGCTGTCTGTGTATGATGCCAGCTCAGGGGGCATCGATCCTGCATCCTGTCGTGGGAAACCAGAGCCTTGTGTCTAGTCAAATACAGCATCGCAAGGAATTTGCTTTTAAGCAACGCCAGGCTTCCACGAATAATGATTACCATCACCGGAGCAGTGACATTTCCCTCGCATGCTGGTAACAAAGCTGGGATAAGTCAACTAAAGGTACCACCAAGAGGGTCTGGGCTCCCCCACCAAACCACGTGCTAGAGAACACGCCCTCATTCTTCGTGGCCCTTTGGAGTGTCCGTGTAAACTGTGCTCTTTGAGAGTTTGAGACAATTTATTAAGCCCTGTTCGAAGACAGTCATTCTCTTCTGAGTAGAGGCACTGTTCGACCCAGGACCTCATTTCAGAGCCAGGCAAGCTAGGAGGAGGAGGAGGAGGAGGAGGCTGCCGGGGGAGGAAGATCCAAGGCTGAATCCCAGCCCCACTGCTCCCCAGACCGGTGGCCTCGGGCAAATTGTTTAACCTTTCTGAGCCTCCGTTTTCTTACCTGTCAAATGGGGACATAATCACGACCCACTTCCTAGCCTGCTTACTGCTTCCTGGCACACCGTGGGCGCGTGGTACCGTGGCTGAACTTGCTATCCCATGGTCATTCTCCTCTGAATCAAATAACCACGGTGACTGTAAAACCACGGCTGCAAACTGGCAGCTCGCGACAAGTCTGGTCTTCAGGTATGTCTTTGTTTGGTGTACAGCGTCCTTTAAATAAAAGTGAACTTGAACGAATCAGGAGAGTTCACATAAAAATCTGGATTCCTAGGGGCGCCTGGGGAGGGGGCTCAGTCGGTTAAGCGTCCGACTTCGGCTCAGGTCGTGATATTACAGTTCGTGAGCCCGAGCCCCGCGTCGGGCTCTGGGCTGATGGCTCGGAGCCTGGAGCCTGTTTCCGATTCTGTGTCTCCCTCTCTCTCTGCCCCTCCCCCACTCACACTCTGTCTCTGTCTCTCCAAAATAAATAAACACTGAAAATATTTTTTGAAAACCTGGGTTTCTAGTTGCCCTTGAGATGCTGAGCACTTTAGACGTGCTGGGCCCACTGTCCCTCAGATGGATCCCTGCCACTCTCTTCTGTCCCTAATTTTTGCGAGGCACATACTTTGCGCCAGGCCCTGTGGAACGCAGTGTAACGGCAGATTAACCCTCCTCCTCCTCCCCTGTCACCAGCAGAGCAAATACTCGGCACTTGCTGTGGGCTAGACGTGAATGTACTCACTCACTGAATCCCCACAACCCCAGGAAGGGGGTAGCGTGATTAACCTTGTGTTACAGATGAGGAAACTGAGGCACAGAGGAGTCGAATGGCGTGATTGAGCTGACGCAGTTCAGCGACAGCCAAAATTTGAGCCTAGGTCGTCTGACTCCAAAGCCTGTTCTTCTTATCGGTGCACTATACTGTTTCTCACTGAATTATGACACCCCTATTAGGCTACGAGCCCATCTTACAGATGTGGAAGTTGAGGCACAGGGGGTTAAATATACAGTAAGCAACCCAGAGACGCACAGCTAGTTGTAGGGCCAGGAATCAGACTCAGGCACTTTGGCTCCGGGGTCTCCGCTTGGAAACTTCAGAATCACTTTCTGCCAAACCCTGAAGAGTCCTTGTGCCTCCGATAATCGTCCCTGCACAGCGATAGCACCCGCAGACACCTCATCTCTCTCCTTCTTTTGTGACGGGGAGCTGTCTGCACCCTCTGCACTGCCCTGGATCGAGCAGGCTGGCTGCTGAGGCGAAGGCTTTGGGGCTGAGTGTTGGGGTGGGGGGAGGTTGCTCCCAAATTCAGAGCAGGCAGGGGCAGCTTACTCACATACACACACACACACACACACACACTCACACACACACACACACACACCCCTTCCCTTCTCTTGAGATGGGCGGTGAGCTCCCCAGCTCCGGAGGGAAGATTCCACCCTAGTTGTGGCCTCAAGTGCCAGATTCGGCCACCTGGGCCCTTCTTTCGGTGACAGAGGCATTACTGAGTGACTGCAGGGACCCAGATCCAGGGAGGACCCCGGGGGCATGAGCCACGGGGCCTACATTCAGGGGGACTCTGGAGCGAATGTGGAGCCGAGAAATCCCCCAGTGGCTCCCACTGCCTCCGTGGCTCTGTCTCCTCTAGCCATCTGTGGGTCCCTGGTCTCATCACTCAGCCTCTTGGAGATTATTTGCCTCATCTGTGAAAGGGGGGTAATTATTCCACCGACCTCCCCGAGGTGATCCGAAGATGAAATAGTTAAAACACGGAGAGGACTTAGTGTTTCTTAGAAAGCATAGAATAAGGTCTAATTTCCTTACCCTTGGCCACCAGGATCACCTTGTCTGTCCCTGCCAGCCTCTCAAAGTCACCTCCTCCCCGTCCCCTTTGCTCGGGGAACCGAGTCCTTGGACAGAGCCCTGACCTTGTTTCTTTTTCTGTAACTCAGGAGCGTGATTCTGCCCTCGGGGTCTTTGCACATGCTGTTCCCTTGGGCTGGTCTCCCCCTGTCTCTAGGACCATCTTCTCAGCCATCATCTCTCATCACAGAGGTCTTTCCTATCACATGTAACTGTTCAGTCCCTCATTCGGCAGGTGTTTGTTCAGGCCAGCATTGTTTTAAGCACTAGAAAGTCAGCACACAAAAGCCTCTCCCCTCCCGGAGCCTATGCCAGGGGTCTGGCAGGCAAGAGGCCGATAAAACAGTAAATAAGCAAAGTACATAGCATGTTGGACAGTGATATGCGCTGTGGGGCAGGGGCGGGGGCGGGGAGGAGAAGCAGGAAAGGAGGATAAGGAATGCAGGGATGTAAGGACGTCCCTGGGAAGGTGACACCTGAGTAAAGACCTTCAGGAGATGAGGGAAGGCGTTCGTGTCCACGTGGAAGGAAGAGGAAACAGCAAGTGCAAAGGCTCTGGGGCAGCAGTGTTCCCAGAGCACCGGAGGGGCAATAAGGAGGCTAGCGCAGCTGGAGCCCAGGGATCAAGACGCCGTGGGGGAGACGAGGTCAGAAAGACGATGGCCAGCTCAGACCTCCCCTGGCTTTGAGAGCCACTGACAGGATTGTGGCTTCTACCCTGAGTGAGCCGGGAGCAATGAGAGGGTTTGGAGCAGGGGCTGGGCTCTGTGACCCGCATAGTGACAGGAGCCCCCCCCCCCCACTGGGGGTCAGGAGAACGCTGACGTGAGAACAACGGGGGGTCAGGACCGGATGGGAACCCAGAGACCAGCCAAGAAGGTGTTACAGTAGTGCAGGTGAGAGGTGCCGGTGCCTTGGATCGGGGCAGGCAGAAGCGCTCAGATTCTGGGCCGCATTTGAGGGGAGAGCCGACAGAACACCCACCCACCCCCGCTTTGGGCCCTGCTGCCTGTCTCCAGCATCCCACCCTCTGCCGAAGGCGCACGTGTGTTCTCTCGTTGTTCGTCAGGCTCCCAGCTAGAATGTCAGTTCTCGGAAGGCAGGCCTTGCCCACCCTCGTTGTCTGGGTCTCTCCCCCTGCTGAGAGCACGTGGGACACCGGCACTTAGCAGGTGCTTCAGAAATCCTGGCCCAGCGAGTGAGGCCAGAAGGTGAAGCACTCCCCACGACGGTGGGACGGCTGAATGGGCGCTCCCCTCTGTAGGCCCCACGCCCCGTACCCCTTACCTAAAGCCCTTCCTTTTCCTCTGTTTTTCCGTGACACGTCAGTTCCGACTCCCCAGCTACCACATAAACACACGATCCTTATAAAGACTCGAAACATCAGACCACATCTCCCCGTGCTCAGTGTCCCCTCCCTTCCCCGGAACCAACCACTGTTACCGCGTTTTGTGCGCAGGCTGAGACCTTTTTGTAAGCCCTCGCATTTGTACCGATTGTATTTATGCGACTTAGGCGTGTATGTTTATGTATATATATTTACAAAGGTACCTTTACTGTGGGAATTAACAGTGTCGCTGGAAAAACTTCTGGAACACAAAAGCTAGCGTGTAATACGGATTTGCTCTAACTTGCTCTGTTCACTCAAGGCGCGTTAAGACATGATTTACCTCTTTTTAGCTTCACTGACTAATACACTGAAGAATGACCCAGTTCATTAAACCATCCCCGGTCCGTGAACATGAGGTTATTTGTAATTTTTTGCTCTTGCAATCAATGCTGCCGGGCTGTCGTCATGCAGGCTGTTATTTGAACACGTGCCCTCTTGCTCTAGAGAAGATGCTGGTGGCCATCAGCTTGTTTGATGCACCTGCTGTGCGTGAGGCCCTGGCGAC